GTGGGAGGTGTCGATCATCGCGATGGTCAAATTACACCTGTCCATCAAGTGGCGCCTCAGGTGTCAGAGGTGAAAGGCCACTGGTCATCTGAGGTGAGCGATTCAATCAGCTGAGTGGGTCATGTGTGTTGAGTGTGTGCGAGTGTAAGAAAATTCGGTAGAAAACCGAACATTCTCCCCAGCCGTCAGCAACTGCTGACGTTCATGAGTTGATCTAGAACATAAAAGCGGATAATCGAGCCAGAACAATAATTACTCGATGGTCAATATCACCACTAGAGTCCATCAGCGACGATCAATTGCCAGCACAGTCAGAATCATTGGAGGCGGAAATTCCGCAGATCTAGACTGACTGGCTTCTGCTCCAGACCAGGCTCCAAGATGAAGGGCATAAATCCTCATCGAGGCCTGGACAAGAACAGAGCAGTGGTGGACTCAGCCGTCGAGATGAACTAACGATGATCAGCATGATGCTCCTGAGAAGATCTAGGTGCGCTGGACTAGAAGATCAGAAGTCGTTGATCGATATTGGTAACAGGGCAAGCTTAGCGATGGGCCGCTGAAGAGTAGAGCTGGACGTCTTGATGCTTACCACCCTGGTGAGCCAATTTCTACCAGGATGGAGAGCGGTAACTCGAGCGAGAGGCCATTTCGTTGGTGGAAATCTCTCGTCGGTGAGAAGGACTATAGAGCCGATGTTGATGTCGTGAGATGGGTGGTGCTACTTAGAAATAGACTGGAGATGCTGGAGATAGCTAGTGGACCGCCGATTCCAGAAGCTCTGAACTTTCTGCTGGATGAGCTGCCAACGAGATAACCGACAGATTTTGTGTTGCTCCAGTGAAGGTTCAGGCACCGCTGTCAGAGCTTGTCCAATCAGAAAATGTCCTGGAGTGAGCGCACTGATATCATCAGGGTCTTCTGAGAGAGGTTCAAGTGGTCGAGAATTGAGCACGGCTTCGATCTAAGAAAGCAGAGTGGTTAGTTCCTCGAAAGTGAGCAGGTCTTCTCCAATTGTTCGTTTAAGATGGTACTTAACGACTTAACTGCTGCTTCCCACTTTCCTCCAAAGTTGAGCAAGAGATGAGCAAGCTGGTCCGATTCCTTGGACGCCATTGAGAAGAGCTTTTTTTGTTTCTTTATCGGCTCCGAGGAAATTTGTTCCACAATCTGAGAACAAATTCCTACAGAGCCCGCGCCGAGCGACAAAACGACGATACGCTGCCATGAAGCCGTCAGATGTATAATCTGAGACGACTTCGAGATGAACCGCGGACGTAGCCATACAGACGAAATCCTGGCCACGTCCTTTCCATGAGCGGAGCGATACTGGACCGGCATAATCAATTCCTGTATTGAGAAATGCACGGCCAGGAGTGAGACGAGCTACTGGGAGCTGACCCATGAGTTGTTGAGCTCTGATTCCTCGCTGTCTTGCGCATGGAACGCACTTTAGAATGAATAATCTTACTGGTGCTCTTCCACCAATCCAGTACGATCGTCTGAGCTGACCAAGTGTGAGCTGCGTTCCACCATGAAGAGTTCTGAGATGAGCGTCCTGAATAAGGAGCTGAGCAAACTTCGGAATGATAGCTTGATGTTTGCTATCATTGTCGAGCTGAGCAAACTTGAGACGTCCGCCAACACGAAGAACTCCCTGGTGATCAATATGCGCTGTCAATCGAATGAGCGGATGAGAAGGTCTGAGTTTTTGCCCTCTGGACAAGGTCATCAGTTCGGAAGAGCAATGCGCTGACTGACTAGCCTTGATCCAGAAGAGACGAGCTTGTTCAATATCACCAGGGTTGAGAGATGTCTTTAACGAAGATCCTGGAGTTTTTCTGAGACGAGCAATAAAACATTGGCAGAGAGCAGTAATCCTGAGCAACTTGTTGAGCGAGGAATATCGACGGACTAGATCCCAGATCTCTGGGCGCTGGACTTTGACGTTGAGCACTACAACAGGTTTCTCTTCAAGGTCAGCTGATTCCACTGAAGAGAGTTCCAGAGATGGCCAATGAGATGAGCTCTTCTTCTGCCATGCTGGACCCTGCCACCATAGCTCGTGCGATGCGAGTTGAGCTGTGGTTCACCCACGAGATGCGCAATCAGCTGGTTTCTCCTTGCCAGGAACGAGCTTCCACTGAGCATCCGTTAATTCCTGGATGAGCTGGACACGATTCCTAACGAACTCCTTCCATCTGGAAGGGTGAGAGCTGATCCATGTGAGCGAAACTGAAGAGTCGGTCCATAAGTACGTCGGCACATTAGAGAAGTTCAGCTGATCTTTAACGTACTTTACAAGCTTAGCAAGAAGAACTGCAGCTGACAGCTCAAGCCTTGGAATAGTCAGCCGTTTGAGAGGAGCTACTTTAGTTTTCGAGCAGACCAATGAGATGCGAAGTTCTTCATCGCCATTGAAGACTTTGAGATAAACTACGGCTGACATAGCGAGCTGCGAGGCGTCTGAGAATCCGTGTAATTCTACTGCGGAGTTCTGGAGAAGACCAATCCATCTTGGTATGGATAGATTGTGTAAGAGTATTTTTCCCGGGGCAACACCCCGGGATAATCCTCAAACTATTCTGGCTGCCGCCTCTATCGTTCACGATTGGGCGCCAGCCAGGTTTTTCTGGAAAACCTGACGGAAAACCAGCCGCGAAGGAATTTCGTCAACT